GTTGTATATAGACTAATTCATTGTCTGCTGTTGGTTTGCCCAGGTATTTGCATATAGAAATACATGTTACTTTTTTCCAAAATATAAATTATGGCCCTGGCCAGTGTGACCCAGTTGGTTGGAGTATTGTCTCATGCACCAAAAGGTGGCATGATCCATTCCCGGTCAGGGCACATACCCAGGTTTCAGGTTCAATCTCCATTTGGGGTGTGTTCTAGAGGCAGCTGATGTGTTTCTCACATGAGTGTTTCTCTCACTCCAATCCTCCTTCCCTCCCTTCCTTTCTCTAAAATCAATATATACACACACACATATATACATTATTACCAAGGGACAATAATTATAACTTCTGTTTAATGATATCTGCCAAGTACTGGATTCTACTAGGTAATTTTATACTGTTTATAATCCTTTCAACACTGTACAAGACAACTCTGTAGGTCATTTTATCTTGTTTCTAATCTTTTCAACAAATTGTATAAGGCACATGATGAGATTTGTTTGCCAAATGTAGAAACCAAAACACAGGTTAGAAAACTGTGTGGTTAGGGATGAAACACAGATACTTTATTTGAAATTCATCAGGAGAAGGTGGGGTGTGTGTGTGTGTGTGTGTGTGTGTGTGTGTTAGCTATAATATAAGGTGCCATCTGAAAGTTTCTTTAGGATGAGGTACATTATGTCCTTTGACAGTTTAGAGGATGAAGAAGTTACAACTGGAAGACTGAAGATTAGTAAGGTATGAACTTGAAGAGATGGGAAAAGTATTCCAGGCCAAGAGAAAAAGATGGAGCAAATTCCAGGAGATTGGATGTTTAGGGAAAAGAGATGTAGTTTGGTTTGGTAGAAGGGAAGGGGGAGTGGAAGGAAATCAACCTGGAACCCTAAGTTAGTGGCCAAAGAAAAGAATTTGTTCTTTATTCTATAGGAGATCTTTGTACAGGAAAGTGTGCCTCAGGAATATTTGCTATTGTGTGTGATGGATTAGAGTAGAAAGAGATTGTTGGTAGACAGGTCTATTTTAGGCATTGCAGTAAATAATACCAGCAAGAAATAACAAGGTCTAGAATTACTGTAGCAAAATTAGAAGTGATAGGAAGAAGGGGACAAAAACTAATAGATACATATAATCATGGTTACTATAGGTAAGGCACTTAAATACATTTCTGTTCCTTTGTTCTAAGAGCTTCACATGTATTAATTTATTTAATTCTCATAACAATGGTGTAAATGATATGAATCCTATTTCTATCCCAGTTTTACAGATGAGGAAATAGAACTTTTCAGGATTGATTAAAAGATAGTAATTTGTTGCTAGACCTATTAAATTATGGGAAATCTGTGCAATGGGAACACAGTAAAATCATGAAAATTCTATTGCTTTAAAAAGATGTTCACTATGGATTAAACCAAGTTTATAGTAGATACAGTATTTCTCAGTTTTACTCTACTTTGAAGGATGTTAATTGTCAATTTTATACCTTTTATGAAGTTTTTTTATAATTCTTTATTGTTGGAAGTATTACATATGTCCCCTTCTCCCCCCCCCCCCCCCATTGACTCCTTCCAGCCTCCCCCTGCCCCACCTCCCACCCCAGGCCTTCAGCACCCGATTGTCTGTGGCCATGGGTTATGCATATATGCATACAAGGTCTTTGGTTGATTACCTCACACCCACCCAGCCTCCCCTATTAGATTCTTCACTCTGTTCCATGCTTTCATGTCTCTGAATCCACTCTGTTCATCAGTTTATTTTGTTACTTTTTATGAAGTTTTTAAAAAAGTGTTTTTCTTCTTCAGTCCCACCCCAAACTCCCATTCCCAAAGGATAGCTATTGTTAATTGCTTGGTATAAGTATACTTACAGTTATTTTCTTATGCACATATAACATAGACACATGTAATGTAAACTTTACTTTATCAAAATGATATATGCATATAGTTTTTAAAGTCATAGTGCAAAAAGCCTTGTAAGAAAAGACAGCATCACTGTTTTTCTTTTCTTCACAAGTCTTTTCTATTTAAAATATTTGAATATAAAGTAAGCATTATATTTTTAAGTACTGTACTTATATTTGAATACACTGTACTTATGCAATTTTTATGTGAAATTACAGTGATGTAAATGATAATATCCATGGAAAAGAACACCATCAATAACATCTGTTTAGGGGGTAAACTATAGCATAGGGACTATAGTCAGTAATATTGTAATCACTATGTATGATGCCATGTGGGTACTTGTATTATCAGGGGTGGGGGGAGAATCACCTCATAAATTTATGATTGTTGTGCTCACTTCGGCAGCACATATAATAAATTATATAATTGTCTCTAACCACTGTGCCGTATGCCTGAAACTAATATAATATTGGATGTCAACTGTAATTGAAAATAAAATTTAAAAAAAAATCTGTGGAAGAAATACATTCTATTCTTTTGTTCTATTAAGTGCCAAAACAAAATTAATTCTTTGGTTGCAAAATTTTTCCTGTTGCAACACATTGATTGCTTCAGTCCATATCATTTTTTACAATGTTTGTTTGTTTCATAGGGTGTTTATTGAAAGCATTAAGAATGATTATATGCTTGTAAACAAGAAAGGGAAAAATAAAGGGCCAATTATTAATTAATCAAGACATTCATTTTATTAATTAATTGGGTTCTTTTTCTTTTCTTTTCCCATCTTATCATTGACCTGCTTGTACCACATAGAAATATTTCCACCAAAAAGTTGAATAAGGCCCTAACTGGTTTGGCTCGATGGATAGAGTGTTGGCCTGCGGACTGAGGGGTCCCGGGTTCGATTCCGATCAAGGGCATCTACCTTGGTTGCCGGCACATCCTAGTAGGAGGTGTGCAGGAGGCAGCTGATCGATGTTTCTCTCCCATCGATGTTTCTAACTCTATCCCTCTCCATTCCTCTCTGTAAAAAATCAATAAAATATATATTTTTTAAAAAGTTGAATAAGGAGAACTCTTACTATATACTATCAGATCTGGTAGAGAAGATACTGAATGAAACTAATGGTACAAAAAAGATTTAAGAATTATCTCTGCCTTGAATTATCCCCTGAGGACATTTTACTCTTCTGTTTAAATTTAAGAAAACTTCAAATTGCTAGTTCATTCAACTTTTTAATTTTTGATTTGACTGCTGGTATCTAAAAACTCTTTAGCCAAGCAAATACATAAGCTAGATGATTCCCAGTAAACAATTATCACTATACATTGTAAGTTACAATAATCTTTTCCCCAAAAGTATTTGGACATTGGTAGTGGTGGGGTGAGGTAGAGTGAGGATGGAGTGTTAGTGGGGTAACTCTGAACCAAGATAGAAAAGGGATGTGGTGAAATATAAAAGTGAGAATACAAAGGCTTGTTTCCTATTTGTTTTAGAATGACTGTGAGACTACTGAAGGTGAAATGATGAGATGTCTTTTAACATCCACCTGAGTATAGCACTATGACTCCCCAAGCCCACAGAGATAGTCTTTCCAGCTGAGGGGAATAGGATATAGTTGAAATGTTACAGAAAATTAACATGAGGCAAACCATGAGGTTGAGCCTTCCAGGGGTGTGACATCTCTTTCAGATTTGTTCTTAGTGGCCACTCCATTTCTTCACAATAAAAGATGCACACTAAGCAGTCTTCTGGTACTGCCCCAGAATTGCCCCAGATATCTATCCTGGATAAACTTTGTTGGTACTTATTTCATTGGAAAAAAATCTGTAGCCCTACCTGCCTCATGAAATCTTTTTTAAAAAAATTAATTTGTCATACTTTACACTCAGAGTTAATGCCACGTAATTTAACGTCTTTTATCAACTTCTTTTTCTTTAATTAGATTAGAAACTTGAAAATGAGCATTGTTTTCTCTCTCCTAGATCCGTGGTTGGCAAACCATGGCTCGCGAGCCACACGCGGCTCTTTGGCCCCTTGAGTGTGGCTCTTCCACAAAATACCACGTGCAGGCGCGCACGTACAGTGCAATTGAAACTTCGTGGTCCATGCGCAGAAATCAGTATTTTGTGGAAGAGCCGGTATTTTGTGGAAGAGCTACACTCAAGGGGCCAAAGAGCCATGTGTGGCTCACAAGCCCTAGTTTGCCGACCACTGTCCTAGATCATTACAGTATCCCCCAGTAACATGCTCAAATTTTTTTTTCAAATTTTTAAATTATTCATTTGCTCAGAGTGATTAAATAGGATGTGTCTATTTTTTTTCCCAGTAGAAAATGCTCTGGGTTTTTCAGATTGGTTTGTCTATATAAATTTGAATTCATTTCATCATGTTTAAACAATGAGATCAATTCATTTATTTTATTTCTTTATATAATTTTTATGTTTATAAATTAAACTTTTGTTAACAGTCACGATTATTTAATGAAAATTAGTGATTTAATTCAGGAACTTCGTTAAAATACTAAGAAACTTTTGTTGTAGTTAGAAAACATTAGACATATAGAGTCTGGAAATAGTAATTTATATATCAGCCAGAGGCCCAGTACATGAAATTCGTGCACTCCAGGGGGGGGCGGTGTCCCTCAGCCTGGCCTGAGCCCTCTCACAGTCTGGGAGCCCTCAGAGGATGTCCGACTGATGGCTTGGGCCAGCTCCCGGCAGAGAGCAGGCCTAAGCTGGCAGTCGGACATCCTTAGCGCTGCCATGAAGGCGGAGAAGCTCCCGCCACCGCCGTTGACTCACCAGCCATGAGCCTGGCTTCTGGCTGAGCAGCGCTCCCCCAGTGGGAGCACACTGGCCACCAGGGGCAGCTCCTGCTTTGAGCATCTGCCCCCTGGTGGTCAATGGGCGTCATATTGACTGGTCATTCCACCATTTGGTCAATTTGCATGTTAGCCTTTAATTATATAGGATTAGAGGTGATAAGAGATAAGATGATGGAGTTGGCATTTCAACTTTTAGAATAACATGATTTTGCAATATTTTATATCTTCTAAAAATATATTTTAATAACTTTAATATTATCCTCTCCCTAGGTTTCTGCTTCAGTGTCTTGAAGACCTTGATTCTAATCTGAGAAAACTAAACTCTCGTCTGTTTGTGATTCGTGGACAACCAGCAGATGTGTTTCCTAGGCTTTTCAAGGTAATTATGCATAAAATAGTAATCTCTTGTCAGAGAAGACACATATTTGGTAAATAAGGCATTCTGGGTAATTTAAAGTGTGGCAAATATATTAAATAAAAATTTTGTGGGTTTTTTCCTTTATTTAATAAAAAAGTTACACATTATAAAGTCAAACAGTAAAAGAAGTGGCTTATAATGAAAAATATTCCTTCTGCCTTAAACTGCTAGTTCCTTTCCCAGAAGTAAAAATTACCAGTTTCTTGTATATTCATTAGAAATATTCTTTGAATAAATAAAAATGTATATCTGTGTATTTTTGTGTATGTCATTATCCCCCTTTTTACAAACACACCATTCGGTGCAATGCTTTACTTATAACCATTATTTTAGAGATTGTTCCATATTACTTCCCCAGTCTTTTAAATGGCTTCATAGTATTCCATTGTGTAAATATGCTATAATTTCTTTAACTAGTTTTCTACTGAACATTGAATTATTTTTCCACAGGCCTTTTGCTAATACAGATAATGCTGTCAGTGGACATTCTTGTCCAGATACACATATCATGATCACATGTGCCACTACATTTGTGGGATAATTCTTAGAAGAAGACTTTCTGGGTCAAAGGCCTGTAATGATTGACATGCTACCAATAATACAAAATTGTGGTGTGTTTTTTTAACTTGGTAGAATCGTAAAAATCTCATTTCTTTCTTCTTTTTTCCAAATGAAAAAATTAGTCCTAGAGAGATTGAATGAGTTGACCAACATGGAAGTACTCAGACCAAAAGCTGAATTTCCTAGCTTTTTTTTATTCATCCCTTCCTATTTGCTACCATTAGAATTCCAAATGTATATTTTCTTTTGGTCTTGCAGCTGTTTAATTCATCAAGTTTTTATAATAGCAGTGTTGCTATTTTTAATTCAGAAGAGAACATTCCTTTCTCTGAATGAGAATGTTCCCAGTGCTGGGATTCAAGTAACACTTCCTAGCTTTTTCCCACTAGTGTGAAAGAAACCTGTAATGTTTAGGGTTTGGCTAATGCAAGAGTTTTGACTAGTGAGAATTTATTACATTAAAATTTGTTCACTACTGTTGCTGCTTAGAGTCAGAATTTAACTTAGGTACATGGAAGAGATCGGAGTAGAAAGCATATCAGAAACAACAGTAATAGTTAATCAACAACTCATGAGTAAAATAGTATGTCTTGGGTAATTGCTTCAACCTTATCTCTAAATTCATGTGGTATAAGTAAAATGAATCCTAAGAAGATTTTAGTTGCTTTAAAAATAATAACTTTTATTTACTTGTTTTTTAAAAACTTGTTTTAAGTCAGCAAGTCTTTTTTGTTCTTTGTTTTGACCATTCTTTTGCATAAAATAGCATATAATTAGATTAACAGTCCTTTGCAATTAGATGCTCTGTCTAGTCAGCTTGCAGAGAGCACATACACATAAAGTGCTTATTATTTATTCTGATTTTTCCTTGGGCTACATACAATAGTCTGTATAAAATGCTATTTATGAAAACTTCTTTCATATTTATTTACTCTGTCTAGAACATAGAGGGAATTAAATTCATTTTTTAATTGTATTGATGTGTGTTTTCTAAAGTGTTGTTTAGAGGTCACTACATGCGTGTGTTTGGAGGAAAAAAAGTCTAAAAGGGTATAAAATAAAAAGTAGGTCTCCTTCCCATCCCTATTCTTCACACCCTCAGTCTCTGAGAAAAAAGATACTTTTGTCCATGACTAGCTGACTCATTTACATTATTGCTTCTATTGTTTATTTAATTTTTTAAAATTTTATTTATTATTTTTTAGAGAAAGAAGAAAGGGTGACGGGGGGGGGGGTGGGGGGGGTGGAGAAAAAAACAATGATTGGTTGCCTCCTGTGCGCTCCTGGAGTGTGGATCAAACCCACAACCTAGGTATGTGCCCTGACTGGGAATTGAACCCATAACCTTTTGGTGTAGCAGATGATGCTTCAACCAACTGAGCCACCTGGCCAGGGTGCCTCTGGTTTTATTATTTTAATACAGAAAATAGTGAGATTTTTTAATAGGTAAGTAATCCTATTTTTCACATTTGAGGTAAAAATACAATAGGTCCTCGGGTTACATCGGAGATCCGTTCCTACGGCACAGCGTACGCGATTTTTGCTGTAAGTCGGAACCCACCTACATAAGCACCTACATCACTCACATGGAGCACATACACAGCAGTAATTAAGTGAAACAGTAAAAAAAAAATTAAAAGAAAGATAACAATTCCTGACCTTTACTTGTGGTAATAATAAAAAACATAAAGCACATATGTACATACGTCAAATGATGGAACCTTTTTTTTATAAATAAATGGGAGATGGCGACATAACCACGAAACGACGTACATCGAGTCCGAGTAACCCAAGGACTATAGTTGAGGCCTGATAACAGTGCCTTTAGTTTATTGGGTTGGTGATAATAGTTCCAGTATTGCTGTCTTCTCTAGCATGCATCTTCTCCTCTCTATAGCATTTGCTCATTCCATTTCTGTTGAGTAGATTTAGGAATGGGGTCAGACCATTTTTATATACTCTGACATACATGTATATCTGATAAATTGTTTTTCTGATGTGTTTTGAGTCCTAGTCAGTTAAAGATTGATGTATGTATAATCATTTGATATGCAAATCATGAATTTAATTTTCAGCCACTATCCTTAAAATTTGTGTACATTTTGCCCCTTCATCTTATTTTAGGAATGGAACATTACTAAACTTTCAATTGAGTATGATTCTGAGCCCTTTGGAAAGGAACGAGATGCAGCTATTAAGAAACTGGCTACTGAAGCTGGAGTAGAAGTGATTGTACAAATTTCACATACATTATATGACCTAGACAAGTAAGTACTTTTTCTATTTTTATTATAGTAAAATAAACATAATATTTGTCATCTTAACCATTTTTAAATGTACAGTTTAGTAGTAGTACATAGACAAATATGTTTTAAGCTATGGGACATAGGTTTGTAAAATGGAAATAACATATACATAATAGAGTTGTGTATATATACTCTAATAGAGTACATAATATATACTAAATAAATATGTATTAAACCCTTAGCATAACTGCTGTAATTTTTACTTACCTAGTGATAGATACCAAACTTAACAGCCATAGTACATAAGACCAAAATACTGAGAATTTTAGTTTCAAAATATTAAGAGTATCAAAATTCTCCTGACTATTCTAACTCAGCCTACTGTTGGTCTTGCCTTTCTGGGCTCTTAGCAATATTAATTTTATAGCTTATTTGATACATAGGCATAAACTGCCTTGATATATTTTATATGACTGTCATAAGTTACTTAACTTTATGTATGTATCTTGTCTATCTAGATTTTAACTCCAGATGTAAACTGTATAAAATATTACTTTGGATAGCTGTAGTCCTCACAACAATGGCATAGTATTATATTTCTCAAAGTGTATTTCTTGAAATATCAGTCTTTAGTGATGCTTTGCCCAACAGAGAGTCTGTGGTCAAGTTTAAATTTAGGAAGTATTATATGCTGTGAGTTTTGAAGGTTCATAAGATTTGTTAATTTATGAACCTTTGACATACTGTTGTCATCATAAGTACTGAATTCTCATAATTTATCTACCTTTTACATTATTTTAACTTATTTATACTTTTTATCAAGTTAATAAAGCTAATTATAAGTAACATGGCAAACTAGTTAATTTTATTCTACTTTTCCAAGTGTATCAAAAAATGGTGACTTGATTACTTGATATTAAGCCAGATGTTATAGTATATTCTTTGATAATAAACTTGCCTTCTAGTTTATCAGTTTTTTTAATTTTAGGGAGCTGATAGCAAGAAGTAAAAACAGGATAAGAGCAGTTGCTTCTAAGTGGAAGACCAGTGTTATACATAAAATTGAATTGTTTATTGGATTGAATGTGAATATTAACCATGTAAATCCATCATAAAACAATGTAACATATAGAAAACGAAGGCTTTTATTGTTTCCATTAAATAATTAATAGTATGACAATTAAAGTATCATTATAATTGACAGATTTCATTATGACCTTAAGTATAAACTCAAAGTATTACACCAAAGCTAAATTACTAAAATCAGAGAGGATAATTTTTTTGTTATGTCCTGTACATATAATTGATACATAATACATGTGGCATAATGAAAAATGTACTGTATTTGGATTAGGAAAACCTTGATTTGCTATTTATTAGCTATGTGACCTTGACTAATTAACTCTCTTGGTAGGCTTTGATTTCTGATCATAAAATGATGGAGTTGGATTTTACTAGTAATTCTTTATTAAGGCTAAATGCTAAGCAAATGGCCATAATAAAAAAAGAATAGCTATTCCCAAATAGTGTCGAATTCAAACTACCTTTGGCAAACATGAATCTTTCCTTTTAGTACACTTGATTGAAGCAATTAGTGATCAGAAGTAAACAAAGTATGTACATAAAATATGTATATAAAATATGTATGCTGATATTTTTAACAAAAGCATGAGCAAATGGAAAATAGCAAGTGATTGTCACAACAATAATATAGAATCCTAATTAATGAGACTTTGTTTGCTCCTTGATATAATATTGACCTGGTTTAGTTTTTATTGATGATTAATAGATTCTTTGAGCTGAGTTATAATGTCTTTACATTTATTCTTTGAGCTATGTGATAATGTTTTTACATTTCCATATTTTTCTGTTATTGCCTTTAATATGTTATTGTTATTTGGCCACTTGTTCTTTTTACTCATAGGTGCTTAATATCCCTTGTCTTAAAGGTTTTGGTATTTTCATGCTATATATTTTTGACATCTAGCAGATATCTAGAAAATGAAGGAAATTTTTTTTTCGATTCTTAATTATTTTAAACAAGTTTCCTGGTCATTCTCCTATAAGTCAAGTAATTTTATTTATTTTCTGGTTTTAAGCCTTTTTAGAGCTTAAATATATTGTCATTTTTTTTTTATACTAACTGGATTTTACTAACTTTTGTAATAGGATCATAGAACTTAATGGTGGACAACCGCCTCTTACTTATAAAAGATTCCAGACTCTTATCAGCAAAATGGAACCACTAGAAATACCAGTAGAGACAATTACTTCGGAAGTGATAGAAAAGTGCACAACTCCTTTGTCTGATGACCATGATGAAAAATATGGAGTCCCTTCACTGGAAGAACTAGGTGGGTATAAATGGTAAAACATTGAAACTTAAGAGCTCATAAATCACTCAGAAAATCCCATTTCTGATTTGACATGTATTTTGCAAAAAGAGAGATAGGAGAAAAAGTAAAAGAAACAAACTAAGATGTGATAAATCTGTGCATTATTTATGTGTTCTAAAATATGTGATCACTTCGACGGTCTAACTCAGTTGGTTCAGTGTCGTCCCATGCATAGAAAGGTTGACGTTTTGATGATTACTAGTCAGGGCACATGCCTGGGTTGCGGGCTGGTCCCCTACCAGAGACATGTGGAAGGCAGCCAATCAATGTTCCACTCTCACATCAATGTTTCTCTCTCTCCCTCTCCTTTACTCTCTCTCTAAAAATTAATAAATATATTTTAAAAAATAAAAATAAAGTATGTGATCTATCTGTTATCAACATAAAATACACATTTTAAAGAATAGAGAACATGTTATCGTCTATATGTGAGGATCTATCTAGGGTCATCAATTCATTTTTATTCTACTGTCATATTTTTCTTCAGTTATTTTTCTTTGCAATTATTGTGATTAAATAAAAAGCATTTATGTTCTGGAATTATTATTATTATTATTATTATTATTATTATTATTTTATTTTATTTTATTTTTTTTAGGTTTTGATACTGATGGCTTACCCTCTGCAGTTTGGCCAGGTGGAGAAACTGAAGCACTTACACGTTTGGAAAGGCATTTGGAAAGAAAAGTATGATAATATAGATCATGCTCATATTTCCAAACTGGCATTTTAAAAATAATTTCACTCTTTTTTAAAAACAAAAAATAGACTGGTAAAAAAGGATTGAGAGGAATACTTAAAATAGCATAAACCGCCCAGCCCGTGTGGCTCTGGTTGAGCATCTACTTATGAACCAGGAGTTCATGGTTCAATTCCCGGTCAGAGCACATGCCCAGGGTTTCAGGCTTAGTCCCCAGTGTGAGGTGTGCAGGAGGCAGCCAATCAATGATTCTCATCATTGATGTTTCTCTCTCTCTCTCTCCCTCTCCCTTCTTCTCTGAAATCAATAAAAATTATTTTTTAAAAAACAGAAGCTATCTGTTAAACTCATCCAGTTTTCCTTAAAAAAAAAAAATAGCATAAACCTAATTGTTTGAAAATGAACTACTATCTCTTTACTTAAATACCTTTTTCCTCCTCTTCTGATTATTTCCTCTTTAGCTATTACCAACACTACCTCTTCTATTCTTTTTTGTGTAAGTTGGTATCTGATGGCCATAACTTTGAAGTTGGTTAGAGTTCTATTTCACCTTTACTTCAGTGTCAAAGAGACAGGTGAAAGGTGCTCTCAATGTTGTGTTAGGAATTTGGAGGTAATTTATTTCACATGAGTATGTGCTACATGGGGATGGTTGAAAGAACAACAACAAAATGCTCACTTTTATCCTTTCTTGTTTTCTGTTAAAACGTCATTTGTGGCTGGAATAATATGATTTTATTCTCTATAAGAACTATGTAACAGTTTTTAAAAACCTAAATCTTAAACACTCCTTTAAAATGGAAAAGTTAGGGTATTTCTCTGTGTGTTTTCAGGCATGGGTGGCTAACTTTGAAAGACCTCGAATGAATGCCAATTCCCTGCTTGCTAGCCCTACAGGACTCAGTCCTTACCTCCGATTTGGATGTTTATCATGTCGACTATTTTACTTCAAACTAACAGATCTCTACAAAAAGGTATTAATTAAAATTGGATTTTTAAATTTTATTTTCCAAGCTACTTTTAAAAAAAATTGCTTTTAATACTTCTTTGCTTTTTAATCTTAGGTAAAAAAGAACAGTTCCCCTCCCCTTTCCCTTTATGGGCAATTGTTATGGCGTGAATTTTTCTATACAGCAGCCACAAATAATCCACGCTTTGATAAAATGGAAGGAAACCCCATCTGTGTTCAGATTCCTTGGGATAAGAATCCTGAGGCTTTAGCAAAATGGGCAGAAGGCCGGACAGGTTTTCCATGGATTGATGCCATCATGACACAGCTTCGTCAGGAGGGTTGGATTCACCATTTGGCCAGACATGCAGTTGCTTGCTTCGTTACACGAGGTGACCTGTGGATTAGCTGGGAAGAAGGAATGAAGGTAAGTTCTAACTAATGTAGCATGTCTTATTTTGAAGGACTATATACTTGACTAAATCATTTCCTAGAAGTTGTCTATTTTGTTTATTCAATTATAGTTTAGTTTTTCACTATCAAAGAATTCAATTCCTGCAATACAATCACACTTTTAGAGACCATTATAGTGTAATCAGACAGGAAATAAGGCAAAAACTGATTCAGTTAATTTCAAGTCACTTCTGTGGCTAAACCAGCCTAGCCATCAAGGGAAATTGAAGATTTAACACTCTGGACTTAATTGCATTGACAGACTTATAGGTAATCATTTCTGTCACGGAAAAGATTCACTCAAGAGTTTTTAGAAATAGTGAATTCATAACATACATCTAAAAATATATATCCTTTCACTTCAACATCACCGCTTTTTGGTAGTGCTTTTATTATGTAAAGTGAAGCATACTTTATTTTATAGCATCATCTTATGGTTATACATAACAGGGCTTAACTGTATTTTTTACCTTCCTACTTATATCATAAATTTCCCCTCTCCAAGCCAGTCCTGATCCTGTGGGTTTTTTTTGGCGTCTGTTCAATTTTCTAGTACAGAGTTTACATGAGGAAGATGTGTAACACCTACTTCATTAATTTATTAAAAATCATTTATTTTAATTGTTTTCCTCTTGGATCAAGAAATTCCAAACTTATTTCAACAATAAAGATTTTAAAAATAAATAAGTAAATAAATAACTGATATTCCAAACGTAAACTCTGCATTTTCAAAGATATTTTCAAAGGTCATTTAATTTGGATGCTCTCTTTAGGTAGGCTGGTTTACCAAGCTTCTATGTTTCTGTTGGTGATTATGTTTCTGTTGGTGATTTATTTGGTAGCATTTTTGCTTTTTTGAAAGTTTCTTGCTTTTATGTTTCTTCCATTTTTTAATCTCATATTCCTTTTAAATCAGTGACTTGAATAATTTTTTGCCCTCCTCCCACACAACACTGCAAAGATTGGAAAGGTAAATTCTATTCAGAAATCCACTTATATTACTGATATATTTCTTTTCCTGAAATAATTCATAGAACAAAACATAGACAAGGAAGCTTGGAATGTTTAATTTTATAGTTCTATGCTAGATTTTCTTTGTCTTGACTTTTGATCTACAGAGATCTGGAAAATGCTTGCTTTGAGAATTATGTGTGTGCAAACTAATTGGTTACTGTTACTTCTGAAGGTATTTGAAGAATTATTACTTGATGCAGATTGGAGCATAAATGCTGGAAGTTGGATGTGGCTGTCTTGTAGTTCCTTTTTTCAACAGTTTTTTCACTGCTATTGCCCTGTTGGTTTTGGTAGAAGAACAGATCCCAATGGAGACTATATCAGGTAAATCAAGGGTGATGATTGTTATTAGTTTGGAGTAACTAATCCAGGAAGAGCTTTTAATGTTTAAGCAACACTTCAATTATACCCCTCATGATGGTCAGCAGAGATGAGGAGAAGGGTAAACAAATCATTTAAATGGTACTGATTTGATCTTGGTCATTCATAGCTAATAAATAGTTCGTTATTATTTGCTTGTAGTTCATTTTATTAATAATTTTTCTCCCAAAAGGCGATATTTGCCTGTCCTAAGAGGCTTCCCTGCAAAATATATCTATGATCCCTGGAATGCACCAGAAAGTATCCAAAAGGTAGCCAAATGTTTGATAGGAATTAATTATCCTAAACCAATGGTGAACCATGCTGAGGCAAGCCGTTTGAATATTGAGAGGATGAAACAGATCTACCAGCAGCTTTCACGATATAGAGGACTAGGTATGTCAGTAACTTCCTTTGATTTGCTTCTTTGGCAGCTACCCTTGATTTGATCTTGATCATAATTTAATAGGACATTATTTCCCTTTAGGTCTTCTTGCATCAGTGCCTTCTAATCCTAATGGGAATGGAGGCCTCATGGGGTATTCTCCTGGAGAAAATATCCCAGGTTGTAGCAGCAGTGGAAGTAAGTGAAAAGGAAATTTCTATAGTAACATTAAGAGATTAATAACCAAGATATTGTTTATTAAACCTCACTATGTTTTTAAAAATCTCTCTTTAAAATGTTTATAATAATTCTTTGTACACGTGCATACATGTGTATACACATACATACAACACACACCCCTAACTTCATTTTAGTGACATTTTAGATAGAAAGAATCATTACATGTAGTAGAGTTTAGGTCAAGGTAAAGATCTTCTTGCTAATTGAATAAGGAGAGCAATTTTAAGGATAAAATAAAACTCAAATATATTTTCAGAATGCTTATTATTTTTTATTCTCTCTAGGTATATATCAGCTAAAAGGTAATAAATATAAAGTCAGTGGCCCTGTGAACATGGCCAAAAAATTTATCATAGACCTCTAGTCCTTTGCACATGAGTTTTCCTTACAAAGTCTGATTTTAATGTTTTTCTGTATGATATATGTTTAGTTGCCATATATATATATATTTTAATCCTCACCTGAGGACATGTTTTTTATTTTAGAGAAAGAGGAAAGGGAGGGGGGAGGGGGAAGAAAGAGGGAGAGAAAGAGAAACAGAAACATCAATGCACACGAGAAATATTGATTGGCCGCCTCCTGTACACACCCTGACCGGGGATCAAACCCAAAATCTGGTATGTGCCCTGACCAGAAATTGAACCTGCAACTTTTTGGTGTACGGATGACGCTCCAACCCACTGAGCCACACAACCAGGGTGCCACATATATTCTTAATTTGGGTAATAATAATAATGTCAAAAAGTTAGTATTCATTTGCAATTTGAATAATTATGTCAATTTTCAAAGGTTCTAACAAAAAATAGCATAAAGCTAATTAATTTATAGTCTTAATATATACTACTTAGAATTTAAGTAATTTTACTGTGCTTTAAATACTAACAGGTTATACTCAAGGGAGTGGTATTTTACATTATGCTCTTGGAGACAGTCAGCAAACTCATCTATTAAAGCAAGGTAAGAATAAAGTGTTTGAGCCCAGCCCAGTGGCTTAGTTGGTTGAGAGTCAACCAAAAAGGTTTCAGGTTTGATTCCTCATCAAGGCACATACCTAGGTTGTGGGTTTGATCCCCTGTGGCACATATGGGAGGTATGGGAGGCAGCCAACCAATGTTTCTCTCCCTCCCTTTCTCTCTAAAATCAATGGAGATTATCCTTGGATGAGGATTTAAAAAAAAAAAAAGAATAAAGCATTTGAGCATATTGTTGTGTCTCTTTACCTTTCCTATTTTAAATGTATATTTTTTAAATGTGTAGGAAGAAGCTCCGTGGGCACTGGTCTCAGCAGTGGGAAACGTCCTAGTCAGGAGGAAGACACACAGAGTATCGGTCGTAAAGTCCAGCGACAGAGCACTAATTAGGTAAATATTTTATAGCCTTATTTCTTGCTTTAGTGGACTGTGTAATCAATATAAATTAAGATAATTTCCAAAATGGAGCTAACCTCTATTTTCAGACCAGAAAGGCATACATTTTTCAGTGATTGTTACAAAATCAATTAGTTCTTAGACGAGAAATGCGTCTGTACTGAACAAAGTGCTATACTCAGTTTTCTGGTCATCTCAATCAATGATATTCAAATGTGAAAAGCTTATAAATTTGTGCTTGTTTTTTTTTTCTCAGAAGGGCATCTTATTCATTTCCTTCCTATGTGACAAATCTAAAACAATTAAAGTGACTTTTTAATTTTAGTGGTATTAATATAATCCCTTTATGAATCTTTCCCCAAATCTTTGCCTCTTAAGTCTTTATAAATTTCTTTTACCTGTTGTGATACTTTAAATTCTTTCCAGTTTGGAAATAGTTTAAAGTTTTTTTTTAATGTTGGCCCTTTTTGGATGCCATGCCTGTATTTAATTCACTTAGCTACGGGATACTATTTTGTGATTTAAATTTATATGAAAAGTATTTTTTAAATATTTTTATTGATTTCAGAGAGGAAGGGAGATGGAGAGAGAGATAGAAACATCAATGATGAGAGAGAATCATTGAGCGGCTGCCTCCTGCATGTCCCCACTAGGGATTGAGCCCACAACCTGGGCATGTGTCCTGACCAGGAATCAAACCGTGACCTCCTGGTTCATAAGTCGTCACTCAACCACTGAGACACAGCAGCCAAGCTGAAAGTATTTATAGTGCATTTGACAGTTTTTGAAGACATTTGTTTTTTCAGTTATCTTAAACTGTTTATATTTTTAAAATTATTATTGTTTTTTTATTGCCAACTTAAACTGTAAATTTCTTGAAAATAAGATCAGTAAATACTCATCAAATTTTTGTCATTTAATTCCTTTCAATTAAGCTTTACCCAGTTTTTTCCCCCCTCTTAAATCACAGAAAACGTTCAGGAGGAATGCTGTTCCAGCTGAAATTGATGGGGAGTTCAATACTTTTTTTCAGTTAAAATGTTCTTCATTGATGGAAAGCAGTTATTTCTAATGATATTTCTGCGGTTTTTAACTTTTCAATGAATTTCACATAGGACACATGGTAATTTGTATATAAAGAACTTGGTAAAAGAATTTGCTTAATGTAAATATAAATAGCACAATTAGTATAGACCCATCAATATATTTTTGATAATTTTTCATGTATGGTAAAAGTTAAAGTGGCAAACTGATATTCTGATAATAAAAAAAAAATCAAAGTTTTGATTGTCAATGTGGGAAAATAGGAGGTTTTTAGACTTTCTTAAAAGACTTTGTTAAAATTTTCTTGACATTGTTTGCTCTAACTTTGCACTCTTTGGTAATAATGTTTTAGGAAATGTGTAATCAAAATTGGTAGTTTATAGCCTCTGTTAACCTAGACAGTCAATGTTTTAAAGCTTCATGTATGCCTGTTTGACCAAACTTGTGCAAGTATCATGTTTAAGTTCTCTGTTTCCCTTTCTTTGTTCATTTACAGTTAAAGTGACCTTTGTTATTAAAGTATATGCATATATGGAATCTTGTGTATTTGGTGGTCGTTTTTCTTCTTTTTTTACTTGTTTGTTTGTTTTGGGAAAGGGGGAGAACATTGGTTTGTGAGATGTGATTACAAATTAAAGAGATTCTATAAACCACATGTCACCATTCTGAATAGCCACCATTTACAGGGGTGGGCAAAAGTAGGTTTATAGTTGTGAATACATGAAACATGAGTTTATTCTTGTATTATTATTAATTATTGTTTTCTTTTCCATACAAACAACTATAAACCTACTTTTGCCCACCCATGTATTTAGTAAAATAGGATTTCTCAAAATTATTCCAAATAAGAATATTGTCTTCCAAATACTTTAACATTTAAAAAAAAAATAAAGTTATCTGCAAGAAAGATGTAAAACCAAAGAGAGTTTTTTCAAGTAATGGGGATTGTAACTGCAAGTTAGTACAGGATAACAGATTAAGAATGTGGGCTCTGGAGTCAAATGCCACTCATTAGCTTTGAGATCTTGGGCAAATTATTAACTTTCTGTGCCTTTTTTTTTTTTTTTTTTATATAAAATGGGAATGAGAATAGTATCTGCTTCATACTGAGTATGAATTGCTCATCACAGTGCCTGGCATATAGTAGGATATCTAGATAATTGTTAGCTCCAGGGCTGCCATGCTGCGTAGCTCACTGGACTGTGCTGTGCAGTGCATGGTCTGTGTCACTGTATGCTGCAGCTCTGATCAGCTGCCACTATTGTTATTATTATCCTTTTCCTGTCTCTAGTAGGCTAATTCTTGCCAAGTAGCTTTTTTTTCTCCTTAACTTTAGGTAATGATAGATGTTTAGTGTGATAATAATAATTAAAGTTTACTGAGGATAAATTTGAGTCAAAAGTCCAGAAACAATACATTTTAGATGATATTCATTTTAACAGTATCCTAGATAATGAATTAATACTGATCAATAAATTCTGTTACTGAGAAAAGAAAAAAGTGTACACTATCTTCTGCCACCATTGTTAAGTAGGAGTAATATTTTAATTGATTCTCATAATACCTATACTTCACACCATCCTCTTCGGACCTGATTGCACTGTACAGAACTGAAAAAATTCATAGGCCTGGGATTTGCCATCACCATCCAGGGGAATAAAAGATTCAGTTTTAAGGTGAATAAGTATTTCAATAAAAGAACACTATTTCAACAAAGCCACTGATATGTAGTGGGATTTATTTTTTAGGATTTGGTGGGGTTTTTTTTAAAGCTTTTTTAGTTTGGTCTAAATTGTGACTAACAAGAATGACTGAAAGGAAAAGAGAAGTATCAATAAATGTGCTCCAACTGAGTAGTGTGAATTCAGTGTTCTCCCCTCACTAGAAGGATTAGTGCTCTAAAAACCCTATCCATGGTGGTTGAGGGATTCAAGACCTTTTACTCATTCAGAAAATATTCTTGAATTCTTACTACCAAAAAACTGTGCTGGCAACCTGGAAAAATTGAGTTGAGAGAACCAAGCTTTTGAATGAGGCAATGCAAGGTCCTTATATTTTTCACATTCACTTAAAACAAATTAATAAATTTGGGATATAAAAGGCTGATAACAGTATCATTTTTTAATGCATCTCTTACTAGAAGCTTCAGGATTTTCCCACAATTTCAAACATGTTTGTGATTTTTTTTATAGATAACTAGAGGCCTGGTGCACGAAAGTTCATGCACTCGGGGGAGGGACCCTCAGCCTGGCAGTCTGGGACCTCTGGGGGGTATTGGGCCTAAGCTGGCAGTCAGACATCCCTCTGGCAGCCTGTGAACTCTCAGGGGATGTCCGACTGACGGCTTAGTGCTAAGGAGGAGGCGGGAGAGGCTCCTGCCACTGCCATTGCGTTCACAGCTGTCAGCCCGGCTTGTGGCTGAGTGGAGCTCCCCCTGTGGGAGTGCACTGACCACCAAGGGGCAGCTCCTGCATTGAGCGTCTGCCCCCTGGTGGTCAGTGTGCTTCATAGTGACCGGTTGTTCCTGATCGTGCTGCCATTAGGGCAGTGATGGCGAACCTATGACACGCGTGTCAGAAGTGACACGCGAACTCACTTTTTTGGTTGATTTTTCTTTGTTAAATGGCATTTAAATATATAAAATAAATATCAAAAATATAAGTCTTTGTTTTACTATGGTTGCAAATATCAAAAAATTTCTATATGTGACACGGCACCAGAGTTAAGTTAGGGTTTTTCAAAATGCTGTCATGCCGAGCTCAAAAGGTTCGCCATCACTGCATTGGGGTCAATTTGCATATTGCCCTTTTAGTATATAGTATATACATAATACTAGGTGCTTTCTCCCATTTCTCCATCCAAAGTTTGTTGTTGTTTTCTGATTTTTATGGCCCTAGAAAGGCACAATTTAAATATTTAGGATGGAGGAGAACCAAGATGGCGGCATAGGTTAACGCCGGAGTTTGCTGCTTTGAACAACTACTTCAAAAGTGAAACCAAAAAACGGAAGGGACATCACCCAGAACCACAGGAACGCTGGCTGAGTGGAAGTCCTACAACTAGGAGGAAAGAGAAACGCATACGGACACTCAGAGGAGGCGCAGTGCTGAAGTCAAATTCGGAGGTGCGGAGTGCGTGGAGCGGGCTGGCGGCGGAGGGCGCGGTTGGCGTTTTCAATCGGGAGGGAGTCGCAGACTCTGAGCTCCAGATCCGGGCGAGTCTTTAGGGACCCAGACTCAAACGGGAGAAGCGGGACTGTCTGGCTTCGGTCAGAGCGAGTGCAGCTTTCTCTCTGAGCTTTGCAGCGGGTGCTGGGACTCAGAGAGGCAGAGCCCCTGGGGACAGGACTGAGAGCCGCCATAACTGCTCTCTCCAGCCCACCCTGTTGATCCTGTGCGACCCGCCCCGCCCAAGCCCTGCACACAGGCATTTGCCGGATAGCCTCAGGCAAATGCCAGATTAGCACCTCCCTAGAGGACAGAAGTTCTCTCACTGCTGACACAGCTGATTCTCATAGCCACTTGGCCTGGAGGTCAAACCCTCCCTGGAATTAGCTACAACAATCAAGATTTAACTATAAGACTGCAAACAAAGACCACTAGGGGGTGCACCAAGGAAGCATAACAAAATGCGGAGACAAAGAAACAGGACAAAATTGTCAATGGAAGATATAGAGTTCAGAACCACACTTTTAAGGCCTCTCAAGAACTGTTTAGAAGCCGCCGATAAACTTAATGAGATCTACAAGAAAACTAATGAGACCCTCGATGTTATATTGGGGAACCAACTAGAAATTAAGCATACACGGACTGAAATAACGAATATTATACAGACTCCCGACAGCAGACCAGAGGAGCGCAAGAATCAAGTCAATGATTTGAAATGCGAGGAAGCAAAAAACACCCAACCGGAAAAGCAAAATGAAAAAAGAATCCAAAAATGCGAGGATAGTGTAAGGAGCCTCTGGGACAGCTTCAAGCGTACCAACATCAGAATTATAGGGGTGCCAGAAGATGAGAGAGAGCAAGATATTGAAAACCTATTTGAAGAAATAATGACAGAAAACTTCCCCCACCTGGTGAAAGAAATGGACTTACAGGTCCAAGAAGCGCAGAGAACCCCAAACAAAAGGAATCCAAAGAGGACCACACCAAGACACATCATCATTAAAATGCCAAGAGCAAAAGATAAAGAGAGAATCTTAAAAGCAGCAAGAGAAAGAAACTCAGTTACCTACAAGGGAATACCCATACGACTGTCAGCTGGTTTCTCAACAGAAACTTTGCAGGCCAGAAGGGAGTGGCAAGAAATATTCAAAGTTATGAATACCAAGAACCTACAACCAAGATTACTTTATCCAGCAAAGCTATCATTCAGAATTGAAGGTCAGATAAAGAGCTTCACAGATAAGGAAAAGCTAAAGGAGTTCATCACCACCAAACCAGGATTATATGAAATGCTGAAAGGTGTCCTTTAAGAAGAGGAAGAGGAAGAAAAAGGTAAAGATACAAATTATGAACAACAAATATGCATCTATCAACAAGTGAATCTAAGAATCAAGTGAATAAATAATCTGATGAACAGAATGAACTGGTGATTATAATAGAATCAGGGACATAGAAAGGGAATGGACTGACTATTCCTGGGGGGGAAAGGGGTGTGGGAGATGCGGGAAGAGACTGGACAAAAATCGTGCACCTATGGATGAGGACAGTGGGTGGGGAGTGAGGGCGGAGGGTGGGGCGGGAACTGGGAGGAGGGGAGTTATGGGGGGGAAAAAAAGAGGAACAAATGTAATAATCCGAACAATAAAGATTTAATTAAAAAAATAAATAAATAAATAAATAAATATTTAGGATGGAAAAGCTTTAGGTAACATTTAAGACAGTTGGCATAGTTGAGTTGGTCAGTTTCAAGTTTTGATTACAATTCACAGGTTATGCATATTATCATTCCTCACACAGTTATGTGGAGCCCTGGTGTAAGCTGCTAGCACTGTAGTGGATATCTCTGTTCCCTCCCTCCTGACCATACAGTTCTAAGGCCTGAGTTTACATTCCTTAACTTCTTTCTCTTCTCTCTATCCTACTCTGATTCCCTTTTCCTAAGTGCATGTGAAATACTTTGGTTTGTCTGGACACCAAGTCCCTGTATATGAGAAAAAAGAGTTCAATAAAACCACACATAATAAGGTTTTTTGTGTTGTTTTTTTTAATATGGGTAACTTAAAGGGAAAAGGGTTGCAGGACAAGCACTCCCCTACCTTATAGTATACCAAAAAAAACAGTTCATTCAAGAATATCCTGGAGATCAAAGTCGATCTTGAGACAAAGAGTCAGGATTCTTGCTGCTACTCTCTGGCATTAAAGTCAAATATCAGTCCCTCTCAGCAAAGCCTGTTGAGCACAGATTGGGTACTAAGGCTAGCCTCAGAGATTTAGTTCAAATTTCCTGAGTCCCTACCATGTGCCAAGCATTATTCATAGGAAAGTAAATTCATCAGTACACACAGGGAGTTTACTCCACAGGGTGAGAGGGCAGTGTAAAGAATTGCAGTGCTGTATGTTAAGGCTGTGTTAGAACTGTGCACAGTGTGCTATGGAAACACTAGGAAAATCTGACAGCTTTCCTGACTCCAACTCCCACACACCAGCATAGGACAACTAGGCAAGGTCAGGGCATCCTGTCCTTGGAAACATTAACTGTAGTTGCGATTAATCATGTTGTCGGTTGTTAATGTCTTTGTCCTCCACTAGAATGTAAACTCCCAGAACAGAAAATGTGCTTTATTCCCCTTTGTCCTGTCCACTGATGTCTGTCTTCTCATTGCTGTTTCCCATGTTTGACACTTAATAGGCATGCCATAAATATTTGTTGATTGAATGGATAAACGAGAGAGTAAATGAGACAGACATTTTTTAAGGAGAAATTTATTAAATTGGCATCACAAGTAGTCATTGGAATGTAAACCACTTGGCAGTTAACAGAAAAGGCAAGTATTTAGGTGAAAATGGCAGGAGGGAGGTTTTTAAAGATGAATCAGACACCTCTGACTGCTGGGTGGAGGACTGGAACAGTCAGTGGATAGTAGAAAGGCTCCATATGTTCCAAAGAGATTTGGGGCTTTTGTACATTAGTTCTTTGTTCTTTTGGGAATTCTGAATGGCCCTAGCTTAAATATACAGTGGTTTCTGAGTTAATTCTACGTTTTTTTTCTTACGGGTTAGTGACATTCCCCAAGGGACCAAATAACCGAAACTCCCAGCTTTTATAAATTGCTGGCAAGGAAAGGGTGTGAAAGTGCCGGAGGCAATAGTTTGCTTGCACCCGGCTCAGTTCCCTGAAAAGGTGATTCCCACGCCAACCCGCCCCTACCGCCGACCCCGCCCCTACCTCCCGGCCCCGCCCCTGCCGCCGGCCCCGCCCCTAGCCCCAACCTGCCTTGCGCCAACAATGGGCGTCTGGAGGGTCACATGGCCTGCGTTGCGCCCTGATTGATTGCGCTGGGGGCGTGAATCTGCGGGCTCTTGGGTCTCCCGCGTTCTGATTGGCTGCCGGTAAAGACAGGTGACCTAGTTGGCGCCGCTGAGGGAAATTCATAAGTCGCTCCAGGCCCCGGGCCTGGTTCCTGGTCCTCGGATCGACTACCGGCCACCGGAATCGTCGGCCTGGTGAGGGAAGGCGGTCGGAGCCGGGGGCCCGTGACCCACTGCGCCTGGCAAGGAGCGGACGCCTACAGGTGAGTCGCGCCCTTTCTCCGCCCCTGGGGGTAGTCGCCCCGGCCTGGCCGTGGCTGTGAGGCGGGGGTTCCGGGGCCGCCCGCCGCTCAGCTGCGCCTGCCTGGCCTGGGCGGACGCCTGGGCGCCGCGGGTCGGAAGTTTCTCCGGAGAAGCGCAGGCCGCGCTAGACGGGTGTGTGGCTTTCGGTCGCTCCCCAAGACTCTCTCTCTTCCTTGGGCCTTCGGGTTTCCTTGCTGTTATACCCACTGGGGCTTATTTGAATCTCAGAAGTTCGTACACGTTATAAAAGTAGAACTGAATTGAGATTACCGATTATAGAGTGGCCCGTATAGGAAAAGGATGCGTGTTATAGAAGTGGACTTCACTCCTCAAACGTGTCTAGGAAACATGAAGTTTCAGAGAATAGCTCGCGTTGTGTTTGGCAAACATTTACCAAGAGCGTCATTATGTGTAGGGCACAGCGCTAAGGGCTGGCCTCTATTGGGTTTGAATACAAGGTCTGCCCTTTATTAGCCGAGCAACCTTGGACAGGTTACTTTTCCTGCTACTTTATCTGTTTTCTCATCTTTAAAATGGGTTGTGTGATTTAATGAATTTTCTGAATACTCTTGGTTTTTGTTACTAACTCATTTCATCTTCACAATCACCCAGGATGTAGTGTCCCCATTTTCTTGATGGTCAAACTGAGGCAGAGAGGTGAAATGACTTCCTTAAGTCACAATACAACATGCCCAGGAATTAAGCCCACGCAGCCCACAGTTTTAGCCACTAGGTTAGGTTAGGTTGCTTCATGGATGGGCTTGGTTTGTTCATTCAGTTTCAGTTAACAAACACTGATTCTATTTCTCTGTGGACTAAGTTCTTTGCTTGTTACAAAGATAAAGCAGAAGAGCATCAGACCCTGCCCTCCCCGTGCTTGCAATCTCATGCAGGTTGTTCATAGTTGGACTGCAGGGTCTGAATCCTGCTTAAATTAATCCTGCTAAAATCTTTTGCAAAACAAGTACTGGTTTTTGTTTTGTTTTGTTGTTTTTTGTGTTTTGTGGGGGTTTTTTTTGTTTTTTGTTTTTCAAAGACAGTCCGTGGCTCTCATCAGGTTCTCTGGTGGGTCTGTGATCCAGAGGTATGAAGAAACATTTTAGCAGAAGAGCTAATATTAGCATAATGCCTGGCACATTGTGTGAACTTAAAGCCAAAATACTTCTGATTGAATGAATAACAAACTTCCAGGAATGTAGTGATTGCTACAATAGGATCAAGAGTTGGTTCCTATGGAGGAGCACACACAAAGATCACCTGACTAGGAATGTCTCCTAGACTCACCTGTGTCAGCCCAATGGGTGGAGGGTAGGGAAGCAATTCATTGGAACATGGTGGCCAGTCTCTGCCTCATGCAGGGTGAAACAAATAACACATGAACAACTGCAGCTATGACAAGTGGCACCGAGGAACCACCCATAGTTTCAAGAGAGCTTATAATGGGGACAGGAGGTTTCATCTATTTATGACTCATGCTATACTGTGCATGGACTGGGAAGACATGCTAAGCGAAATAAACCAGACACAACAAGACAAATGTATGATTCCACTGACAAAGTCATAGAAACAGAAAGTAGAATAGAAATTACCAGGGGCTGAGTGGTGAGGGGAATGTGGAATTATTTTTTTTAAAAATATATTTTATTTTTTACAGAGAGGAAGGGAGAGGGATAGTTAGAAACATCGATGAGAGAGAAACATCGATCAACTGCCTCCTGCACGCCCCCCACTGGGAATGTGCCCACAACCAAGGTACATGCCCTTGACCGGAATCGAACCCGGGACCCTTCAGTCCGCAGGCCGACGCTCTATCCACTGAGCCAAACTGGTTAGGGCAGGAATGTGGAATTATTGTTTAATGGGTACAGAGTTTGTGCCTGGGGTGATGAAAAAGTTCTGGAAGTAGTAGTAGTGGTTGTGCAACATTGTGAATTTGCTTAATGCCACTGATAAAAAAGGCAAACGGCAGGAATAGTTCAAAGGCAACACAGATCGTCAACATAATTTAAGAAAAGTTCAGCCTCACTAATAATAAAATGAAGTTAAATTAGTGTTGTATTCATTTTCACATATTAAATTTATAACTGATGAGGGAATCACTCATACTGCTTGTGAGAATATAGGTTGGGATAGTTTTTCTGGGTAGTAAATTAACAACTGAACTTCACACATCTCTTCAGTAATTCTCCTAGAAGTTCATCCTAAAGGGAAAAATATGAAATGTGCAGCAGATATTTAGCATATAACAAAAAATTACAAATAGCCCAACTGCTCAATACTAGGAAATAAATTACAAAATGATAGTATATCCATCACATATATCATGCACTCATTTAAAATATTTAGAGCACTTTTGATGCCAAGGTATATATAGTGGATTAAAGAATAAAATACATATAGGAGGGTAGGCAAAAGTAGGTTTACAGTTGTGAGTACACAAAACAGTGTTTATTCTTGTATTTTTATTTATTACTAGAGGCCCGATGCATGAATTCCTGCACGGGTGGGGTTCCTTGGGGTGGCCTGTGGAGATTGGTCCCCAGCTCATGCTCCCAGCCTCATGGCCCCGCCTGGCACCCCGCCTTGGCCTGGTGCTGCCCCCTCACCTGCTCCACCATCCCACCTGTGGGATCATCAATCGGGGCCAGGCCCTCCCCCACCCCACCCAGCTCCCTCAGCGCCTGGGAGTCAGGCGGGGCTACCCCCCACTCCTGCCATCTGCAGGGTCATCCACAGATCGATCAGGCCCCTGCTCACACCCACCTTGGCCTGGCACCACCCGCTCACCTGCTCCACCATCCCACCGAGGTCCTGCTCTCATCGGGGCCCATCGAGGCTGACAGCACCTCCACTGCCGCCCGCTGACAGTGCTGCGTTGCTGACACTCGCCATGTTCCATACTGCCCCCCTGGTAGTCAGCACACGTTATAGTGAGTGGTCGAACTCCCGGTCGAGGGGACAATTTGCATATTAGGCTTTTATTATATAGGATTTTGTTAGTACTACAACTGTAAACTTCCTTTTGCCCACCGCTGTACAATGTGTATTGATTGTAGAGGAACCACATTTGTGCTTTCCACTTTTGTAGTCAACTATGTTTGTTCATCAGAGAGAGAAACAGCTAGAGCAAGACAGACAGCTTTAATTGTTCAGACAACTCACCTGAACACATGATAGTTGACTCTGGAGTAAGCAGGCAATGGGAGGCAGCCCGCTCTTCCCTTAGCCTCCCTGGGCAAGAGCGTCATGCTGTGGTCAGTGTAGTTCTAATATTTAATGATCTGTCACTTTTTATAATGTAACTCCAGAGTAAGCCAACTACTTCATCTGGTGCTTAGCCAAACACTGGGATCTGTTCCAGGCCTGGAGGAACCCCTGGTGCAGGACTTACAGAAGATGGTATGTTGGTATCCAGTGTGGTGCCTGCTTAGGAGATTTTCAAGGAAAATTTTGAGTTTCTTTAATTTTCACTTGATAGGCTGAGTTTAGAACCTGTCATGTATAAAGCAGGTTTATGTATTTAAAAATTATAATAAAGGGGGCAAGAAGCATAGAATAAAACGACTTACATGTCAAAATATGAATAGTTGTCTATAGGTGATGGGATTATGAAAGATTTTTTCCATTTCCTTATACTTTTCAGAATTTGGCAGATTCTCTATAGTGAGACTGTATTACCTTCATAAGCAGTTACTTGCTTATAAAAGCATTTACAATACAGTTTTCACAATTTTCAGTTATTCTTTGTAAATAATGTACTTCTGTCTAAAATACAGTTTAAAGTCACATTACTACAAACATTTTAGCTCCATGTTAACTAGTCATGGCTTCCATTTATTGAGCGCTGATAACATACCAGGCTGCGCACAAAGCACTTGACGTGCATTCCTATAAGGTTTACCTGCTGTTCTGCTATACAGGTGATGCTATTGTTATTTTAATCTTATTGAACTTTTACTGTGAGGTTGTATTCTAATCACTACTTGTTTAATATGAGGTTAAGTAACTTTCCCAAGATGATCCCATAAATTAGAGCCAGAGCAGGGTGTGAGTTTGGCTGCCGAGCCACACTCCTTCCAGCTGGTGGTACAGATGTGAGGCTCGAGGTTTTGGGATTCCAGGACAGTGGGGTGTGGGACTCCAGCCTAGATGTACCTCCGTGCTGTTAAAATCCTTGGTCTTCTCAGAAATTTAAAAAATATTATTTATATGTTGGCTATTTGAGAGTTATTTAAGGAAACTGGTATTAGGAATCGTCTTAAGAAAACTCTGGTTGAACTACTAGAAGTAAAACAGAAGCTATGCCTACAATTACTTTAACTGAGCTATTTTACCAAAAGTAAACCAAAAATGAGAGCATTATTCTCTGTTATTTTTCCTTAGAGAATAATAATTTATTTGTAGTAGGACTTGAAAGGGAGGAGTCCTTGGCATATGTGGCAAAGGCATTAAAGGCAGGGATTGGAAGTGCCCACCCCCCCCCGTTTTCCTTCAAACCTACAAATACTAAGGAAATGCTGTTAACTATCCAAATAGCAGCACTATACTTTTGTGGTAGAGCCAAGACACTTCAATCTCAGGTACCAAAAGTTAAAACAACAAACTAGGCATGTTTTCATTACCAGAAATATGAGAAAATAGTGCAAAGGCTACAATGCATCAGGCACAGTATAGCGTCTCTAGGTAGCTAAAGCTGTCAAGTGGGGACAGCTGGTTAGACGTTATAGCGTATGGTCCCCATTCCACAGCTGACATGCCACTCGCGTGGCTCCACTGGGGCAGTCACACATCTCTCTCATTGTACCTGGCTAAGACTTAATTTAATTCTGCATTTATAAAGAAATTTTCACATAATTCTCATGGAACAAGCATACATTTATTGACTCATTTTAAATAAAAAATTAACTAACTTATTTGGGTAATAGTTATTTAGCAAAAATATTTACTCTGAAATATAAAATTAGAGATGAAGCCCCCCTTCTTTTTTTAAAAAATACATTTTTATTAATTTCAGAGAGGAAGGGATAGGGAGAGAAAGAGAAACATCAATGATGAGAGAGAATCACTGCTTGGCTGCCTCCTGCACACCCCCAACTGGGGATCGAGCCTACAACCCAGGCATGTGCCCTTGACCGGAATCGAACCTGGGACCTTTCAGTCCGCAGGCCGACGTTCTATCCACTGAGCCAAACCAGCTAGGGCACCCTACCCACCTCCATTCTTAATAAGTATTTGCTTCTGCTAAACATCATCTTGAAAATGTAAAACGTTAAAAACAAAAACAAAGAACCTCTGTGTGTATGTAAGTAAGTAACATATGTCTCCTAAAGAAAAACATATCAGAGTTGCAGGAGGGGGAAGTTGTGTCAAAATAACATCTACGGTCTGTGATTCTTTGAACTTTTTGTGGTCTGGCTACTGCTCTGTGAAAGAGAAATAACTACTTCACAAGGTTGCTGCAAAGCTCAAATGACAATGTATTTATAAAGTTTAAGATGTCTAAGCTGTGAAGAAGTATAATTACTTTATAAATTATGTAAGAGGATATATTTAATATTCCACATGAGTAGTTTTCCTGTCTAATTTAAATCCATGTTATTTCCAATGCTTACTGCTTACAGCTCAGATTTGTGTTCTACAAGGCAACAACCCATAGTTAAATCCTGTAATTTCTTTCTTACAGGCACCCTGAGTACATTCTGCATCACTGGACGGTGGGGATTAGCTGGTGGATTTCAGGCATGTTGTGGAAGTTGCTGATGAGATCCCAGCCTTGCAGGCTGTGTTCTTTCAGAAAGATGCTATCAGCTCCCAAATACAGACCTTTTTTAGCTCGCTTCACCTATACAACCAACAGTCAGCCTAACAAAGAAAATCAAAGAACAGTGGAAAAGCTCCATAAATTTTCAGTTGACATCAGGAAAATACGCAGATTAAAAGGATGGGTCCTTTTGGAAGATGAAACCTATGTTGAAGAAATTGCAAATATTTTACAGCAACTAGGTGCCAATGAGACTGTGGTAGCCAGTATTTTGGAACGCTGCCCAGAAGCCATTGTCTGCAGTCCAACCGCTGTTAACTCCCAGAGAGAACTCTGGCAGTCCCTCTGCAAAAATGAGGAAGAGTTAGTCAAGTTAATAGAACAGTTTCCAGAATCTTTCTTTACGGTTAAAGACCAGGAGAACCGGAAACTAAATGTACAGTTCTTTCAAGAGTTGGGACTCAAAAATGTGGTCATTAGCAGGTTTTTGACAACTGCACCTAGTATTTTTCATAATCCTGTTGAGAAGAATAAGCAAGTGATAAGGATTCTCCAGGAGAGTTATCTAAATTTAGGTAGCTCCGAGACCAACATGAAAGTTTGGCTACTGAAGTTATTAAGCCAAAACCCATTTATTTTGTTAAATTCTTCTGCAGCTATAAAGGAAACACTGGAATTTCTCCAGGAGCAAGGTTTCACAGACTCTGAAATTCTCCAGCTTCTGTCCAAACTGAAAGGGTTTCTTTTTCAACTTGGCCTAAGAAGTATACAGAACAGTATTTCCTTCTCTAAAAATGCTTTTAAATGCACAGATCATGACCTGAAGCAGTTAGTTTTGAAATGTCCTGCCCTTTTATATTATTCCGTTCCCATTTTGGAAGAGAGAATTCAGGGATTATTGAAAGAAGGAATTTCCATAGCTCAGATAAGAGAAACGCCCATGGTTCTGGAATTAACACCACAGATAGTACAGTATAGGATAAGGAAACTGAATTCCTTAGGCTACAGAATAAAGGATGGACATCTAGCAAGTCTAAATGGAACGAAAAAAGAGTTTGAGGCTAACTTTGGTAAAATCCAGGCCAAAAAAGGAAGGCCATTATTTAACCCTGTTGCACCGTTACATGTTGATGAGTAACTCACTGGCTGATACTGCTTCCTTCTGGCAGTGCAGTGACACTGAGTAGCAAAGACACAGGATTCAGGCTGTTTGCAGGCACCAGGAATTTTACCTCTAAGTAAATAATCCCCAACTCATATGCTATATTATAAAATATAAATTACATTTATTTTAAATAAAAGTTGCTAATTTTGATCTTAAGCTATTTTTTTAAAAATCTTGTACCATTCAATGGCACCTTAGTGTGATATAAGTGAATCATTTCTAAGAAACTGACAAGTGTCATTTTTTAAAAATTTGTTTTTATTGATTTCAGAGGGAGGGAGAGAAAGAGATAGAAACATCAGTGATGAGAATCCTTGATCAGCTGCCTCCTGCACACCCCCTACTGGGGATCGAGCCTACAACCTGAGCATGTGCCCTGTTTGAGAGTCAAACCATGATCTCCTGGTTCATTGGTTGACGCTCAACCACCGAGCCACACTGGCTGGGGAAACAAGTGTCATTTTTTTATTTATCTAGCACAGCGGTTCTCAACCTGTGGGTCGCGACCCCTTTGGAGATCCAACGACCCTTTCACAGAGGTTGCCTAAGACCATCGGAAAACACATATATAATTACATATTATTTTTGTGATTAATCACTATGCTTTAATTATGTTCAATTTGTAACAATGAAATTGGGGGTCACCACAACATGAGGAACTGTATTAAAGGGTCGCAGCATTAGGAAGGTTGAGAACCACTGATCTAGCACATTTCATCTGGGATGTAGACCCAGCCTTCTTTCGCACCACCAGCTCTGAAACATCACTACTGTGGTCTGAGTTCTGTAGCTTAGTGTTAAAGTGAAACATCAGCAGATTTCTAATACATTTTTTTAGAGAAAGCTGATTTTATCTCCTGGTTGGAATGAGTATCTTTCAGAACCAAGTATTACTCATCCAGAAAGCACAATTAGAGCTTATTTGTATGGTCACGTTGTTTAAAATTGACCATTTTTCTCTCTCATGAAGTGCTTTTAAGTGCATTCATTACTTTCCCCATTTTACAGATGAGGAAACTGAACTTTAGAGAGGCCACTCAGCCCAGATTTACTATGATCCGACTTCTTTTCAAACCTTGTGAATAGAAAAAGGATTGCTTATGAGTTGGCATGAAAGAAGTCACCCCTCCCTGACCTGCCAAAAGAGTGAGTACCAACAAATTTAGGGATTTTTATGAAAACTGTAAAATGCCTTCAATTTGAAATGATCTAATTGATATACATTTGAAGTACATGGAGCATTTTTAAGAACTTTCTGAAAATCCTGGTCTGCCTATAAAAGGGAAAGTGTGTGATGGTTGGTACTTAGTAGCATTTCACATTTCTATTTCTAAATCTTGCCAAGATAAACATTACCCAGATAAAGACTGGCCCACTTTCAGCTCTGGAGTTTGAACTTTGTAACAACCAAACAATTGACTCTGATAGTCAAACCTCTATGTGTGAATGGTCTTTTCTTAAGGAAAATATGAAAAATGCAGGCCATGTCTTCAGCAAATGCAAGTAGCCCTCACTATCCAATTCTGTTAAGTTCCTTAGGAGAGGAAAGACATCTACGCAGCACCAAGTGCCAGGCACACTGTGCTTTGCAACACTAGGAGTTCGGTACCATTGTTTACTGGTCTACAGATGAGAAGACTCAGGCACACAGAGAGTTACTCACCCAAAGTCACATGGGAATGTTCAAGAAAAAGAATGGCAGTACAGTGGGGGCAGGTTGCAAGGCAAGGAGAGTGGTGCAGGATGAGTATTATACGTCCATCTAAAGAGCAGAATCTCATTCTGAGTGTGATGGGAAACCCTTGGAGAAACTAGATGCTTGTTGTCCCACCATAATTATCAGTGGTGCTTTGTCTGTTGTCTCAGTTTGAAATACATTGTATATTATGTGGTCACCTTTTAGATGTTAATTTTTGAGATGTCTACTAGATATCAGAGCAGAGATGTCAAAGAGGCAAATGCTAAAGTCCAGAATTGTGAGAAGGTAGGACTGGAGATAGAGATCCAGGGGTCATTTGCATATCTATGAAATGTAAAGCTATGGCTCTCTATGAGCTTATCCAGAAACAAAGTACAGATTTGTAGCACTAGCTGGCCAATCCTAGAAAGGGCTGACCAGTGGAAGTCTGCCAAGAAAAGAGGGCATGGTCAATAAGATTGAATGCCATGGACATGCCAACTAAGATACAGACAAGTGACTAATAGAATTGGCAAATAGGAAATCATTAGTTGGCCCTATCAGGAGTGATTCTGGTGGACTGAGAAAGATAAGAAAGCAACTGGAATAGGTTGAAAGGCTAGATGAAGAGGAAGAAACTGCAGTTGTTTTCAAGAAGTTTTTCTTTAAAGAAAGCAAATGCTAAGATTTGTTTACTAGTACATGCTGATGGGTATGACCCAAGAGAGCTTGAGATGGAAATCTGTAGATTTCATATCCTTGAGGAAGTGAAGGTGGGCAGACTTTGGATGAGCGCACAGATACTAGTCCTGGTCTGAGTGTGGCATCAGGTGTAGGCAAGTTGATGGAGTGGGTGGTATGAGAAGCAGGAGAGTTGCTGTCAGAGAAGGACAGTAGAATGGGAGATGGGAGTATGTATAGCAAGAGAGTCGGAAGGAGGAGGTAAGAAAGTAATCTGGAAGAGTAGTAAAGTGAACATACAAGAGGGTATATAAGAAAGTTTGTCAGAATTGAGTGACCCTGTGTGCTTTGTCGGCCTTTAATTTAGTCTAGTCATTACAGCAGCAAACTTTAGGGGCACAGGCCCATGTAGAGAACTTGAGACACATACAGTTTTTAAAATACATTTGTAACTTACTCTAACTTGAAAAGATTAAGTTAAAATCCACATTTGTGGTTAAAAAAAAAAATCCAGTATATTGCCCTAGCCAGTTTGGCTCAGTGGATAGAGTATCAGCCTGCAGACTGAAAGGTCCCGGGTTCAATTCCAGTCAAGGGCACATGCTCAGGTTGCGGGCTTGATCCCCAGTAGGGGCCATGTAGGAAGCAGCAGGAGGCAGCCGGTCAATGATTCTCATCATTGATGTTTCTCTCCCTCCTCCCTTCCTCTCTGAAATCAATAAAAATTTATTTTTTTAAAAATCCAGTATATTGACTTTATATTCCCTTCGACTAAATGTTACTACATTTTCTTTTGTAAACCTTTGAACCTGCCTTTTTCCATTCTTGCATTCTTATTCAGATCTGAGTAGAATTTAAAATAATTCAAAATCAACAACAGAGCAGGGAGAGATACTCTTAATAAAACACTAGAGCAGCCGTGGGCAAACTACGGCCCGTTTGAAATGAATAAAACTAAAAAAAAAAAAAGACCGTACCCTTTTATGTAATGTTTACTTTGAATTTATATTAGTTCACACAAACACTCCACCCATGCTTTTGTTCCGGCCCTCCGGTCCAGTTTAAGAACCCATTGTGGCCCTCGAGTCAAAAAGTTTGCCCACCCCCACACTAGAGTCCAGTTTTTATTTCCTGTGTGAAAAGAGACTCTAGTAACAATTATTTCCTTTAAGTCATTTAGTGGAATATAATTACACTAAACTCATTTCTGTGGCAAAATATAATTAGCTGCCACAGTAAATATGGTCACCAGGAAGTTCAAGCTAGACAGCCTGGTAAATCTAGCACAGGCAGCACTGAATGCCGACAGCAGAATTAAGGACTTGTTACTGATGGCCCCATTTCTGTTTCTGGACCTAAACTGGAGAAGTGACTTACACTAATTCAGAAATTACATAGGAAATTCAACTAACATTGAAAGACTGTTCCATATTTATACGAAGAGAATAAAGATATACCCTCATAGTGATTAAATCAGATAATGTGTGGACAGCACCCGGTGGGTAAGTAGATGCCCAATATATATCCATTTTCTACCTTCCTCTAACTGGTTCCCATCCCTTTGAGTCACTTCTGTTCAGTGAGATGTCTAAGTTGGTTCCACAGTTACGTAGGACAGAGGGAAGTGCTCACTACTTTGTAACTTCATCAGTTCCCAAATTTCAGAGTGCATAGGAATCACCAGCAGTTGTTAAACTGCAGTCCTACAGACCCCACCCTACAGAGATTCAGCAAGTTGGGGTCAAACCTAGAAATCTACATTTTTAATCTTTATTAGAGTTGTTTAAAATATATTTGCATTTCATTTATTGTGTTGGCATCAAAATATATTCAGAGATGTTTTATCTTGTTTCTTCATTAACGTCAAAAATTTGTAAACTTTCTAAACTGCTATGTAACTAAAAATTTTAAGACTACCCTGTTTTAAAATTTCCTTTATTCCCTTAGATCTTTATGAAACATTTCATATGTTATAGATCATAGTGTTTTATTAACAGATTCATGTATTCTTTTCTCATTCCTTTAATACAAAAAACTTCAGTCATCGGTTATTTTCATCTAAGTGCAGGTCTCATAATATCAACATTAGATCAGTCATTCAGTGGATCACACACGGTTACCCTCATTGTGCAAATACCCACTCAAAAGAAAAGCTGAATAACAGATGCCTCCAGGTATATACAGCCACCTTAGTTTCTTGAAGTGAACGAGTACTGTTTACAGGTCAAATGCTAGTCTACAAAAATAAACTGAGAAAGACTCAAGTGTACAGCTATACATATCTGATGGCAAGTTCATTTCAACAAGAACCTCCATGACTAACTTCATTTGTACAGTTCTCTGCTATCATTGCAAAAGCCTCTCCTGAACAAAGTTACAATTTAGAATTTAAAACAAACTCAGTAAGATAAAATGTACCAGGTGGCTTTTCTGTAGCAGAAATTAATCACAACTATTTTATTTTCCTCAAGCAATTTTAAAGATAAGCAAAGTTAAAAATAAATATGCAAGCATATAGTCAACTAAAGTATGTTTAGAAATGCAGGTATAAAGCACAGCAGAACCTATGACTAGAGAAGATAAATTAGAAAAATGACCTATTAATGAAGTGATAATTTCTTTCAAATAGCAGGAAACAAGTTCTCCACTATCATTAATTTAGGTCATTATTTGTGTTCATCTATTAATTTTTGGGGAAAAAAAAAACAACCATTGCTAATTATGACATTTGACCAGATATACCAACATGTATACCTTAAATTACACGGCATGAAATAAAAGGCCATTTAATTTCTGA